CCCCCCCCCCCCCCCCCCCCACACACACGTTCGTTGCGGACGACGTTGCGTTCAATAGCTGCGTCACGTGTCCGGGCCCTTAATAGTCATTTATGAAAATTTACACCGTTTAAGGACTACTTAAGTTGAATGTATTTTTCTTTATAACTTTAGTCCCACAGCTTTTGATCGAGCAGGAAACAGGGTTGAGTCAAGTACACCCTTGGGGGTGGTAGTGAGGTATTTTTGAACCCAGCCTTTTATACTCTTTGCTTGTCTGGAACAACTAGAGCAGACTGACCGTATTTTCCAAGCTGTTCACAGTTAAATTGAGTAGGCGGCTGAAATAGACAGCCATCTACTTTAGTTGCAATTAGTTTATAGTGTCGTTATTTGAGACTTCTTGATTTAGGAAGATAGCAATTCGTTATTTAAAGAAGGAACTATTTTAAGTCCTAATTCATTTATCTACAGGAAATTTTTAAATTACAATATTCTAGTTGCTAGAAAAATGCATGAGGGCTTATTGGTTAGTCTAAATACAGCAGTGCGATAGTTCCGGTACCCTCGGATACACCCGGATACACTACGGTAACACTTCAATTTACCCAAGTGACATCTGGGTATATAGACAAACTCGTAGACACCCGATACTTCGACACAATTGTTGACCCAGTGCTTCATACCAAAATGTCACCCGACTAATTGACGCGCTACGTTACTCTCCGGCTATTTGACACCCGGAGTCACCCAGGAACATACTTGTGTCCGCGTATATGGACAAACTTCGGATACACTATGATATCTGGCAAACCCCGGTATACAGGCATCCCGTAGACACCCGGGTACATCCAAATACAAAAACAGCGCACTGCCGTATCCAGAATAACAATTCCTTCTTACCGCTTAGTTTCATCAATTATACAATTATTATTCTTAAAGTCGTTATTCATATTCCAATCAAAAATAAGGTGTTCTGACTTATCCAATGAAGAATGTACCAAGTAGCTGGCGGGTAGAGGAAGTGTTCCCGCCAGGCAGGTTTACTTCCATCCAATTGCTTTACTCTCTAGTAAAGCGATGAAGAGAATTGAAATGATGTACATGGATCCAACGATCATACCCATCCAAATCTGAGAGAAACCAAGAGAAAAAAGAAATAAGAGGACGGCTTGATGGATAAGACCTTTAGCAGTGTTCTTACCTTGCCGCGCCATTGCGGAATCGCGCATAAAAAAAAACAGAAATGGCGCACAAATGTCAACTCTATGCGCCCCCAAGGGCGCATGAATTATTCAAAGAATACTTCCTGATAATTTTAAAAGATTTAGAGTACTATGAAATAATAAAAGTCGCATTATATTGTCAATGAACAAGGTGAAAGTTCAGATGAAACGACACGAATCGAACCTAGCCGCCATCTTGTATTTCACTCACCAAGAGGTCTGGGACAAGTCTATGTTAACTGACCTTGTTTATTGGAGGCTCAAGTATGGCTGCCCAGCGCAAGTTTATTATATTATCATTACTAATAAAAAACTCTCTAAATTCAATATGGCGGCTCTTCCAGCAGCAACTTCGTTATAAGGCTGCGTTATATTTCCAAAGATAAATACCTTGTAGGTGTAGCGAAGTCCAGCAAACCCGACAACCCACTGCACGAGCACAATAACGGTCACCTCTGAAACGAACGAACAAACGAATAATGTCAAAGACTGAGGTATAAATGAAGGAGTGCGCAACGTTACTACAGCAGTAGAGTGCAACTGGGTTACGAAACATTTTTCTATTATTTTCACAAGACAGTAAACAATAGCGCAGCGCGCAGATGACTTCATCAAAACGAAGACAGAGGCAAACAAACTTATAACTTACTTCAAGCAGATAATTTTCATAGGTTATTATTTTAACTTCAAATACAAAAATAAAATCGGTTCGTATAACAATCGACAAGGTTGAACGGAATGCAATGCTTTTCTGAGTCTTGAAGCTATTTTTAGAATCCGTGCGCTGCGCTATTGAAACAAATTATAATCAATATTTCCGCGATCACAGTTTTAAATTCTGAGATATTCTAGATGTGTTAGGCTTGTGAATGGCAGCGCGCAGGAAACTGTCACAGTAAGGGATTAACAGACCAATTACAGCACGAGATCGCTGCTTTTCTGACTAAAATGCTCGGGCACAGCGCTGTGACGGTCACGCACGGGCCGCATACGTCACAGACAAGAATGACTAACCTGCTGAGTAGTACCACCTCAGGTTTCTGAAGACAACAAGAGCGGCAAAGATGCCAAGGCAAAGGGTGTTGTTCATGGTGCTGGCACCGTACAGCTAGAAAGAAAACAAGGGACATAAATGAGTGAAGTTGAACTCAATTACAAATCAGGGATGGGCGTATTATATACTGGGGTCACTGAGCTGGACAGAGCGTAGAACAGCAGCTAGCTGAGCGGTGAACGCGGCGTGCTAAGCATAAGTGGGCAAAATGACCGGCTCTAAGGATTTTCGGAGCTTGAAAGAACTGTCGTTGTTGAACTGTTGTGTAATTGTTTTTATTTTTCCATTCCATATTTCTGCTTCTAGTAGGCACGTATATCATATTTTAGTCAAAAGAAAACAGGCATGGGAATAAGCTAAACGCTCTTTGATTGCCTGAAACAAAATTCACTGCTGAGCTGGAGGAAGGGTCGGTAGCGTAGTGCAGATCGAGGGTAAAAGTCGAACCCCCAAAAAGGGGGACATACTACTATTGAATAGGCTCACTGAGATAGATAGATAGATACTTCATTCGGCCTCAGGTTTTAATGAGAGTGATTAGGTCTCTAGCAAATAAATGCCAATATTGTGCCAAGAACTAAACTATCGACAGAACATATACTATACGAGCAAAGAAGGGCTAGGTGGAAAGAGGTAAAAAAAAAGAACACCAGAAGTACGGGGAAGTACAACTTCTAGGACAAGACCGAGGAAGGTTTTTTTTTCTACTAACCTGTGAAAATGTCATGGACACATTCTCCTTCTTCTTCTTTGAAGCGAAGATGAGCGAAGAGACCAGCTCGGAGGCGTTAGAGCACAGTGGTGTCACGACAAACGACACATAGAAGGCTGATGAGTGAAAATACGATTTAAGGAAACATAGATAAATAGATATAAATAGAAGTTGAAAACGTAGAAAATACACTCGACTGAAATGAATGTTTCTAAATAGTACATCCATAACTGTTCGTCATTTTTTGTTATTTTTTATTTTTTATTTCAAACATCCGAAATCACAAAGACTTTCTACAATCTCTTACAGTCTTCACAACTCTCCTCGTGTTCTCTGACTGACTACACAGGATTCCCAATAACCCATTTTGGTGGGTCTCAACAATAACCAAGATAAATAGGAATTATCATACTTACAGCTGATGGGGATGTGTGAATGATTGAGTGGGTTGGTCAACGAGTCCAGCACATCACACATAGGATCAGCGAAGATGGTTACCTATATAAAATCAACAAAGAAATTTAGTCATATCACTAAAATATAAGGTAAATATTAGGCTTCTAAGGCTTAGGTCAAACATCGAACTTCACAAGAGCCGAACCTAATTGAAACAGTGGATAACAAGGCGGTCTTCTATGGTGTCATTAGGTTCGGCTCATATGAAGTTCGACATGACCCTAAATTTTTGATTGGATGATTGGCCATGGTATATAGGAATCTATACCACGATGCGCGAGGGTTTGCATACGATTGAGTCCTTTTCCAATCGCCAAGCTTTTTTAAATCGTTAAAAATTTGGATCTTTATAAAGGTTCCGTAGGTTCAGATTACTGTCGATCTTCATAATTTTTTTTTCAAATCTCGACATGGAAAGATCTACTACAGTAGAGAACCGTTTTTGCATGTATGGAAGCTCCTAATCAGTATATTTAAGATTTGAGGCATAGGATTTGACAACATATTATTCTTGTCGCCAACCACAGAGAGAGCGCGCTTTCAATGGCGCGCTTTCAATGGCGCTATGAAAGATTCAGTCAGCTTTAACATCTTTATTCATAATTTATTCCTATAGTTTATGAATATAATTTTATACAAAATAACGTAAAATAGAAGAAGCTAAACACGTGCAGAATAAACTTTCATTGAACATCTCGTCTTAATGTTATTTTACATAATGTTGTCACAAGATCTGCGAGGACATCTTCTTTGCTTGGTAACGTTTATGTTTCTACTATAAACAAGCCTTGGAGCCATGTATTGTACTTAACAATCTTAACAATAAATAAATGTGACCTTAAAATTACATATAAACAATCTATTTGGCTAGTTAATAAGTTCAAGACGGGACTTTTGATGACGAACTTCCACGAGGTTGTGATGAATTTGTTCAGTTTTCTGTCGAATATCTTCAAAATCTTTCTTCATTTTTTGTAGAATATAATTCATAGTTTCAATCTCCCGAGCCACCTTATCAAGATCTTCTTCATCCTGGCTTGTTTTCTTGCTGTATTGATTTAATGGGCTGTCGTCAAACTTTTTTCTTACGTCTACAAACGGCAAAGCTCTCTTTGGTATCAGTTTGGGATTCCTCTTGCTAAAGGTTTCGTCATGACGATCTTTTATCGACAACAATAAATGCGCTGTTGAAACATTTTTCCTTACCATGCTCCAATCCTTCATCTTTAAAAGCCGAATATATACCAATAGCTAGAAAACTAGTTCTTGTTCCTTTGAGAAAACAATATAGCGTCTTCGAATGTGAAATCCGTTTCTATTCGTTTCAAACACGAACCTGCAAATTCCGTGTAGGCTTAAATGTCCAGAATACCCAAAAGACAATGGAATACGTAGACCAGAAAAGCGGTGGCTTCAGAAGGCAAACTTTGAATTAGTTTTAATTACTACTATTTGTCCTCTCTTCAATTCACTTGAAATAAATTTTTTATTAACGAAAAGAATCGTTGAATTTTCCAGAAATGAAAAGCTTTAAGCTATCGAAACTTTGGAAACATAAAAGCTGAAATCTTTAAAAAATTATTCTAAAAACTTAGAAAAGTTTATCCTAAGTTTATATAGTGAAGTGTGGATTTAAAGTGGAAACGCTTGAGTTGGCTCATATAGGTTGTAATTACGATAAAAACTATTCAATTTGCTTGGACAATGGAAAGCCAAACAAAAAGTAAATATTTCATGCAAATATTTAGGGATTTATTGCAGTAGAGCTTACAATAAAAATAAGAGAACAATGAGTGTTGAAAAATTGTTTTCGTTTCAAAAACGAGGTCACCCAGTCATCTTGCAAGGCCGAACAAGGCGGCTCATTCTAAATGAAGGTGGATAGCGCGAATTCAGGTTAAAAAGGTCAATCTCTATATTTTCCTTCTATAAACGCATTCCATCTGCTTTTAACTAATGAATGGGTGACCTCGTTTAGTGCACTTGTCAGCCTTATAAGYAAGGTGTATAGGAAGCGCACTCCCAAGGCTTTGAAATGCGTTTTCAAAATCAAAAGTTAAAAAAAGATTGTGCGTTTGAAAGGTAAAAGCAAAAATATATCTTATATTCCGTTATTTTATTTTGCGAAGAAACTTGCGCAAGACCAGACAATCAAGAAGAGATGATGAATTATTCAACATGAAAACGGAAAGTCAAAGATCATTACGTCATTTTAGTTATGCGCGTTTTGAACCCTAGACACCATTTTCTAATTAACAGATTGAAATAATCTGGTTTTGCCTCAAGGTCATCAAACATTAATTGTTTTTGAAGTTGTCGTTCGTAGTGTTTTCTTGTGTATTTTCCTAGTAGGCCCCGTCTACACGTATCCGGATATTTTTGAAAAAATATTTTTATTTTTTTGCCGATTAGACTTGAAAATTTTTCGAAAACATTGGCTACGTGTGGACGGGCGGAAATGATTCGAAAACGCTAGGTGGAATTTAAAAAAATCCGTTAATATATCCGGATAACGGTGTGGACGGGCTGGATCCATAGCCTTGCATCCAATCTATGTTTGAGGGGTGTACAGGTAATTGACCAATCAGAATAAAGCATATTATGGTGGATACTTACCAGGCCGACACCAAGAACAAGAAGACCAATGGACTTCATTGTCAAGACTGAGCGACTCTCCTCGTGTTCTGGCTCCTCGTGCTCCTCCTTTACATTATAACAAAACATTATATTTTTATTGATGTGGGGGGAAAGAGAATAAAACTGGGATGGAATGGATGGCAAGGTGATCTGAAGAAATGGGAAATGAAAAATGACATAATGGGAGAAATAGAGGGAAAAGGAAAATAAAGAATAAATACTAAGAGAACGAATATTGGTTAATGAACCGAATTAAAGAGAAGGAAAAAAAAACAATGAAAAATAAATGAAATGGAAAAATGAGGACGGGATCTACACAAAAAATAAAATAAAAAATAATAAAAAATAAAAAAGAAAGAAAGAAAGAAAGAAAGAAAGAAAGAAAGAAAAAAGGAAAAGGAAACTTTCTTCAGATTGTTTTCACGAACAAGAATTTTATGATTTCAATATTCAATTTTATAATTTAACCTCAACTTCTGTTGCACGCATGTATTTTTTTCTTTTACGTATGATTTATACTTTATATCGAGAAAATTTGTTCGTAAAAAAGCTTATTATATATTTACCCATACTAGGTTTTGAGTTTAAGGTGTCATTGTATTCATTAACAAAGAAAATTAACTCATGTTTTAGTTACACGAATTTCCCGTAACTTGCAGACACCCTACCAACTAAAATACCAGATGTCATTGATTATGGCTCTTGTCAATCAAATTTTTGGCAGACAAAGTTCGTAAATTTTTAGCTCCATCTTATACGGAAGGCCGCTAAGCAGGCTACCACAATCCTCGAGCCTTAATCTCTGCATAGTTAAGGAAATTGGTATAATATCTTTGAATACGAGCTGAAGTCAGCTTAGGGGCGGATCCAGGTTCCACTTTGTTTTTCCTTTTGATTCTAAGAAGTGCACCCCTCCCTGGGTTAACTTTGTGCGCAGCACCCCTCCCTGAACAAAATCCTGGATCTGCCCCTGCAGCTTATATCACTTAGCCTTAATTTATAAACTAAATTATATGCTGTTACTATTTGCATACTTGATTTATTTTTCACTATCATAAGGCGGCTTTAACTGTTTATATCATGTTATACATTAACATTGTGTGATTATGCCCATGCAAGTAATGTGCACTGTTAGCTTATTATCATTAGAAGCATCTGATAAGTATTAGTTACATAGGACTGGTTTAAATCAAATATTAATAGCATACAGAACAATAATCTTTTTCCTCTCTCTCATTATCCCCCCACCTCACCACAACCTCTATACACACTTGTAGTATCATATCACTTGTATTTCTGAGATTATTATTTTTTCAGMAGAGCAAAATCATTTAATTTCGTTATATGTCAGTAATAATTAATTCTATGTTAAATCTGATCATATAGTAGCTAATCAACAATAGTCATTATTCATAAGCTGTTGTTTTAAACCATTAGTCAAACATTAGAGTTATCCATGACAATCATACAATCTCTCAGTCATTTCAGCTTAATTCAACCATCTGAAGAAAGCATAACAAGCACCAAGCTGGTTGTCAGAGAGTCTCTTGCTCTAATACTTCTCTGTCATAGATAACAAGGATTGGGGGGGGGGGGGGGGGGGGGGGAGAGGTGTGAATTGGGTGCCTAGACCCCCTTGGGATTGAAAAACAATAAGAATAAAGGATAAGGTAAAACCTAAAAAGAATGCTGTGTGATGCCCTTTTTAGTAACCATCAACCCCCTTGGAATCTTTCTAGATCCCTAACTGGGTAACTAATTCCTTATTTATGACAAAGATGCAAAAGTCAAGTGAAAGAGGCTCTGATAATCAGGGTAGATAGTAAGATTGACCACTTCTTGACCAAAACCAGAACCTGAGCATTTGGGAGAATCAGACATCTCAATCTTTTTTTTCATCCCATATCACACAGAGGTATAGTAGGAAAGAAAGCACTCAAGATTCAAATACACAGTTTCCAGGAAACTATTGACTGATCTAAGGTTGGTCAGACGCTGCTCACCTGATCACTTATTTCAAAGGATTCTTTTCGTAATGGAGCCTGTTGACCACAATTATTGTTTAATAACAAATTCAAGTACTGACTAGCTCTTAAATTGTTAGCACGATACATTCGGCACATAATCAGCGTTAGTAAATAAATTAACCATTAGGTGCGTGAGTGGTCGGCATAATGCATAGCAAAATTGCATCCTGTAGCATGCGGTGAATACAGGTGCATTAATGTGGGAACACAATTCATGTACTTATCATTTATCACAAGTCATTTTTTAGGTTTATAAAGTGGTTGGATATTCATGCAGATTTTATGGTGTAGTTATGTCAACCAAAACAGAAGGAAAATAGGCTCTGCTAGCAGGGAAGGTGCATACTTTTTTTAAAAAACACAATTTTTATCAATTATCACATATCAATTATGTTTTACTATATGTGAGCGTAGGTTTTACTTTAATACCATGCATTATGAGTATTTATTCAATAAATTGTTAAGATAGCTATACCCTGTATGTAATTAATAAAGTTGAAGAATCAATTTTCACCATATTCTAATATGAAACATTTATTCCTCAATGTATTAAATACTTATTAAACTAGTACCTTTATTTATAATTAATAATAAAATCTCTCTCTTCTATATTGACCCAAGATTTAGGATTAAATAAATGTTAATTCCTAAAAGTATTTCCAGAATATACCTTTTCGTCGTCAGTAATTGACTCATGATCCTTGGAGAGTATTGGATCCTTTTCAGTACCTTCACTCTTGGACCTCATGCCAGAACCAAGATGCCAGGCCTTGAAATACTTGGATTGAATGTGATCTGTCAATCAAGCAAATATTTAGTCCTTACTGGTTCAATTCTAAGCAAGTGGTTAGTAGACTGTCAATCCTATGTGGGTGTTAATAGTTACCTTCGTAGTTCCCTGCAATATCTTGAAAGGTATCTCAGTGCCTTTGCATTTAAGCAAGACGAACGGTGAGCTTGCAATAATAGAGACATGTGATTAATTGTTCAAGGTGTTAAAAAAAGGTCTTTATCGCTGCAAGTTTACCATTCTTCTTACTTCATTCCAAAGGCATGGCTACCTATCAAGATGGTCCAGGGAACTCTAAAAGGGACTATTCAAGCTGTCTACCAGTGGTTGGTATTTATATAAAGTAAGTCGTTGTATAAGGTTCCAGCTACTATGTTTACCTTCTTTAGCTTTGATGTCTTCAGGGGAGTCATACTCATCACCGCCAATGCGCTCATGTCCCGTCTCCTTGCTGGCCATCAAGACAAAGCGGTGAAGAACCCTGCGCTGAATCCTGTTATTTTCATTAAAAAATTGTAATTAATACTTATTATTGTCTGAATAATAGATCAAGCATAAGTCTCTTCTTTTCATCACCATCACCCTCACCCTCAATCAGCATCATTATTAATCAACAATTTATTAACTTACAGTGATTGACGATGTTTGTCAGCTCTCCTCTCAGCAGCTTTGCTGTCATATGCCTACAGATTGAAAAATAAACCACTTAATATTCACTGCACATATAATCTATTTCAGTTTGTAACTTGTCGTATAACACTATAAAAAATAAAAAAATATATGAAGTGAAGGCATTTAACCAATAAAATAAAAATTATTAGTCAATGTGTAATAAGCAAATAGACACAAAAGAAAACAATGGAATTAAGGTCTACTAAAGTGTGTTAGTCCAATATCTATTGCACTAGTTTAATGACTTAACTCTAACATATACATCTTCTATTTAGTGTGAGAAACATTTTAGTGCTAACAGACTTACCAGGAAACCAAGGTAGAAAACAAAAAGGATGAAGCAAATGATCATTGTCGCAAGAGCAGCCTTTCTAACATAGGGTGGTTGTGGTCCAAAGTTGTGGGGGCCAAAATACCAATCAGCACCCTGGACAATACTACAACCAAAAGAACAAAACAAAAATTGAATGGTCACCGTAACTGCCCAATAAATAACAAGCTCCCTAATCTCAATCTCTCAGGGATGTTGGGAGAGAAGTGGGAATTGTTTTCAAAAATATCCATACACCAGACTAATCAGCTCCCCCAACCCATAAATTATGAATGCTTCCTACATACAGATGATAGAGAGATTTAGCATCAAGACATGAACAACAAAGACAACTGCACGAGTGCATTTTTCCTGTGTGAGTGCTGTCCTCAACATGGTTAATGTCTTCATCAGGACGTAAAAATGCTGCAAATGGGGTCTGTCAAGAGCATCAACCACGTTGAGGACAGAGGGCACACGAAAAAATCTTTGACTTCGCGTCTTGATGCTAAATCACTCTTACGATAACTCAGCACTTACAAGTAGGACAGAGATGTGCCAAGCATAATAACAACAGCAGTGACTACATCAGGAAGGACTGTAACACCCTGGCGAACAAATGATGGAAAATTTAATTCAAAATCTACAGCATTAGCTGCATATGCATGCAAATCTCAAGATTTCATATTTTCCCAGGTTTCCCCCCTTTTATCTGAAGCATATATTCATGCCATGCATCCTGCTCTTGAATATTATATCTTTTTCCACCAATAACTAGAGGTTTCAATAGAAAGTAGCTTAACCAGCAGTTGATTGCCAGATACTCACCTCTCACTAGACATCGGCTATTTTACAGTCAGCAGAGTCAATTAATGATAAAAAATAAAAGCAACACAGCCCCCTATTTTGTCAAGCAGCCCTCCTGCACTTCAAAAATTACAGAGTTCTTTGAGTAACATAATTTCATCCAGATGATGTTGGCAATGGACTACATACATTATATACTGTGTCAATATCTAGGAGGAAATCTAAAGATAGCCTTCTATCAGTTGTGTTGGTAAAAAGTATTTAATTACCTGTTTGGTTAAGCTCAACTTTCCAGTACCAGTTCCCTCAATTGCTTCTCCCTTCCTGTCAATGTCACATCGGCCAATAAACACACTGCCGGCCCATGCAGCTGTCAGCAACATGATGGTACTACCAGCAAGGGTGCTAGAAAACGATGTGAAAACTATATCTTAACAAAAATAAATGTTTTCACACTTTCGTATTTATATGGAAGCATAGGTTGATTTGGAGAGAAGTCCAGAGCATAAATAAACAAGATCAATAATTTATTATATTCATTATCATTGGTACATTAGGAGACAACTGATTAAGGCAATTATTTATACTTTGCCAAGCTTTTGGACAATTAAAATTTTCAATTTTTTCTTCTTCTGGTTTTACGACTTTAAAATCCATGCAATAAAACTTTCACAGTGTAAATTTTAAATTTTAGTAACATGTTTATGAGGTCATTTTCTGCTAAAATCCAAGAAATCCAAAAATCTAAAACGTTACGATTTCCGAGAATATTTTTTTCTTTTTTTGGCCAAGTTTCATTATCTTTGGTTTAGAACCAGAAACGTTATATCCCTGGTGCCTATTTCAGGGTCTTTTGTGCCCGATGTGTATCACCTATCTTCAGGGCAATGATAGAATAAAAATAAATAAAAAAGGTTAGTCCATAGGCACAGTTTTAAACAGCACTCAAGACCTCACTCAACCTTTCTGGAAGTTTAAGCTGCAACTAACTATGAACTCACCCCATGCCAATTGACAGTTTGCTCTGTGCATCATCACCGAGACCAGACACAATAATGATGGCTGAGTCAGGAACTGCTCCCAGGAGTGGAAGAACAATGCCACCTAGAAAAAGAGTTTAAATAAAGTGTTAATGATATATGTATATATATACGCTAAAGTATTCTATTTCACCATAAGAACATTAAATATTAAACATCGTTGCCAAAAGTAGAAAGGAATTCTACTTTTCGCAAAGATTGCTGCAACTTGTCTTGCAACATGTATCTGGAAATTTTTGTATCCGCAATTTTTTTTTTTCGGTTACGAAAATGTTTGCGTCCACTGCAGTGTATTCAAATCACTTTGGAATCGTTTTCACTATCCACACGTATCCAGAAATTTCTTGATCCGCCCTGATGCACGCTAGTGCCTAGTCCCTTTGAGGGATAGTTTTTCTTATTGAGCATGCGCAAAATCGTGTTTACGTAAGCATATTCGAAAATTTGCGGTTACGACAGTCCACACGTATCCGTATTCAGAGCATATTCGAAAATTTCCACTCTGGAGACCGTTTTCGAAAATTTCTGGATACAGATACAAAACTTTCCAGACACGTGTAGACGCAACCCACATCCACAAAAAGAAATTGCGGATCCAAAAATTTGCGGATACATGTAGACAGGACCTTAAAATTAAAACTATCACACGTATAACTTATGGAAACACAATATTATTAATGATCACCTAATTGCAAGTTATGACATTTTCAAACAGCAACATAAAAAATAGGTCCAGGATTAATTATTTTTGCAAAACATTTGTAACTATTTCTCTGTTTTGAAGGTATAGGACTGCCATTTTTGATATTACCTTGATGGTATATACCAAAACAGCTATTTTTATGATCAATACAGGTTCTAGTTGAGTCTCTAATAAGGCTTTAGAATCAAAATAAATAATAAAATTACATTTTCTAATTCCTTTTTATTTATTTATTTATTTTTTATATGCCACAACAATCTTGCAATCAGGTGTATGTATGTTGCTCAAATTATTACTGTAATTTTAAAAAAACCTCTAGCTGCATAATGCATGTGTGTGGGAGTTGGACTGTACATCTAAGTGCCCTGGGGAGGTTGGTAGCTAAGGCAATAGAAAGGATATCAGTCTGGTATTCGAGATAACTTACCAACAATAGCTGCAGGAACACCAATGTCTAGAAGTAGCTCAGCACCATCTGGGAATAAATGGGAAACATAAGTGAAAACTGGAAATAAATTAAGGAAATGATATGCAAGGTTGTTCCATTTGTACTCCCATTACCCCCAAGAAGGTTCTTAAGGTATAGAACAATGTCTGAAAAAGTCTTCACATTTATCCCAATTTTTTCCCAAATTTGATATGAAAAATGGTCGCGACACTACTGGTAGCTTGGGAATATCAAGTAAACTAGATATATGTGACAGAGTCAAAAGACACTATTTTGGACAGTAATTATTTAGTCATAAATCTATATTTTTAATTAGGAATGCCTCGTGTACACATAGGAATGTAATTCTTTAGTTAACTGTTTGCGTGGAAAATGCG